TCTCCCTGCCCGGCCCCTCCCTTGCAGTCCCCCTCCTCAGGGCTCCCCATCTGGGTTCAAGTGTGTGACTTCAGTCAATGCCCTCATCCAGGCGCTGCTGCTGACCAGGCTCACCAGCTTCAGGTGATGTGTCAAGTGCCAGGGAACCCCTTGGCGTAGTCAAGGCCAAACTGGAGTGCCCAGAAATAGGTGGAGGATAGCCACAGCCTCAAGATGTAAACAAGCCGGGAAGAGAAGATGTGGGTGTCAGACTGTGAATCCCCAGCCGGTCAGCCCCGCAGAATGGAAGACAGGCAGAGGTAAGCTTCCCTTCCCAGGACAAGGGAAGCTGGAGCTGGGGCCCAGAACACTGGGAAGGCCTGGGAAAATGAGCATAGAGTGGTGGTAACCCTTCCCGCCAGCGCCGGAGCCCCAGGGAGCCCCTGGCCCCAGGTCACGTCACCTGCTGGAACATTCAAAGTTCTCAGAAAATCTATGTGTGTGTATGAGGGTGTCCAGAGCTGGGACAGCACGAGGTCTGAGTCCTTGCTCACCACCCTCTGGCCCTGGGCACTGGGCGGGGCCTGGGCCAGGACTTCCAGGACACCGGGCCCAGAGCCTCCTAATCCTGGTCTCTATCCCATGGGGCTTCACTGTCCCCTTTTCCACTCCTGCCTTTGAGACCTTTCTTTCATCTCAGCCTGTGACTCGGCATCTTGGGGCAAGGGCCATGTGGATTGCTGTTATGGGGTGGGGATGGGGCACCTCTCAGGACATAGCCATGCTAGGGACCTGTGAGGTGGCCGGCAGGCTGTGGAACTAGCCAACTCCGATGGTGGAGTGCCAGTTGATGGGAGCTGGAAGGGAAAGGCGACCTTCGCAGGAGAAGGAGGAAGGGCTTCCCAGGGTAGATGTGGGAGTCTGGGAAGGGCTTCCCAGGGCAGATGTGGGGGTCTGGGAAGGGCTTTCCAGGGCAGATGTGGGGGTCTGGGAAGGGCTGGGGCTATTTGAGGAGCCCTGCATCCTCCCACCACACTGGGCAGCGCGGCCTCGCTGACCATCCGGCATGGTTCCTGGAACTGTGTATGCGTGATGACCATGGGCCCAGCCCCGGATGCTTCCAGCACTGGGAGAAGAGGCACCCAGTCAGCAGTCAGATGGGAAGGGAGCAGGGAAGCCACACAGGGAACCCCGGGGCATCAGGCCAAAGGTGGGACATCAGTTCTTGGTCCAGATACCTCATAGAACAGTTCTCCGGCAGACAGGCTTTCCCGCCTGCGGGTCAGCCCCCTGATGCTCCAGAGCCCTCATCTGACCCCATGTCCCGTAACTCTCAAGGACGGGCTTGACCCCACGGAGCTGAGAGCTACCCTGCCTCCCCTCCCCACCCATTTCAGGCCCATGTCAGTCACCACCTTCTCACTCCTCCCCAGGCTACATAGCAGCCAGGGTGCCCGTGCCCAGGGCTAGGAAGCAGGACCCCATCGGGGTTGTATCAGGAGACTGGCGATGACCCCAACCACCACCTGCTCAGGACGACGGACTGTGCTTCCTGGTACACACATTCCTGAGAGCTCCACCGAGTGTACTTTCTGGAGGGCCAAGCAGCGTTGACACTTGCCAGTCTTGCAGCCCAGGAGCTCAAGAAGACTTGTTTCTATGGGCACCCTGAACCCAACACCCCCTGGGGGTGCAACTCAAGAACTTGGTGGGTACATCCCAGAGGGTCACAGGATGGCCCTCTTGCCCATAGATGCCAGTCTATGCCCAAGCTCTTGCCTGCCCACCAGGGCCCAGCCAGCCCTGATAGCCCTGGCATGACGTGCTTTCCCTGTAAGCAGAGGAGGGGCCATGAGCTGCTTTTTTCCCAGGCAGGAACAAGCGCCATGCCGTGACAGCGCTTTTGTAAGCAAGTACCCTGAAATCACCTTTCTCCATGGGGAAATCAAGGCAGGAGCAGCAGAGGGCCGAGGTCTTGTCCATCTCCCTAGATCAGCTGCCCCTTTTTTGGTTTGTGAGCCCAGGTGGGGAGAGACAGCCACAGTTGGGTGAGGCATACAGCCTTTATCTCTTACTGGTTCTGCCAGGGTGAGGGTAGGCTGAGGGTAGAAAAGGACTGCTCGCCCAGATGAAGAAGATGGCCTTAGTGATGGGTACATCACTGCCAGACAAGGATACTGAGTTGTTACCCTCAGGCTTACCATCATACTGTGCCCCAATTTGATCCTGCCTGGTAGGGAGGGAGATAGGACAGGGTCATCCCTATCCCTGGACCCAGGCCCAGTGCCAACACCAGGCTGCCCACGAAAGGCAAGGGTGATGCCAGGTGGCCAGAGCCTATTGGTCCCAGAGTCTGTCAGTTACTTCAAGTGCCCTGAATAAATGCAGGTGTTCTAGGCCTCTGGGCAGCCGGAGGGTGTCACCTGAAAGGTCTTTCAGACCCTGGATGGGGACAAGAGCACATCACTGAGTGGAGCAAGATCAAGTGACAGGGGTGGCTAGAGAAATGGTGCCAGAGCCCAGGGCCTGCCCATGAGGCTTCCCTGCCTCGCTCCTTTTATGCTCAGCTGTCCTGTACTGGCCTGCTGGCCTAGTGGGAGGCCAAGCCAAGCAGCTTCAGGATAAGGACCTGCTAGGCCACACCTTGCCCTGAGTGTCAAAGTAGCTAACAGAGGGAAGAATGAATCTCAGCAAAGCTGAACAGTGTTGTGGGTATAACCATGGTGTTGTTCTGGTCCCAGGTGTGGGATGTGGAGCTGATTCAGATGGTCCACAGCAGCAGACTATTTGCCTCGTGCGGGCTCTGAGAGGAGCTCTTTGCCAGCTGCAGATAGTTTAAAGCTGAGGACTCTGGAGAGGGAATAAAGGCCAGAGCCCAGAGGGTGAGGAGGAGAACAAGGCTGTGCTGCTTCCTCCTGGGGCTCCTGTTGCTGAGAAACAAGAAGTTGGAGGTCTCCTGAAACGAGGCCTGGACTGGCTCCAAGGAACCCGAGGACCCTGACCAGCAGGAAGCAGCTAAGAACTGTGCCCCCTCTCCCACTGACCCTCTCTCTTCTACCTGGTGTTGGAAGGGATTGGGGTGGAGTAGGGAGAAGAGATGAGACATAAATAAAAGAGTTTTAAAAAGTATGCCAGCGGAAAGGGGGAGTTTTCCCTAGCCCTAGGGGTTTCTGGGCAGAGGGGAGCTGGCTTCATAGGGTTGGGCAGAGCCAGCCTGGGACTCTCCATGGCTGCCCTGAAGTCTGGCTCCAGTGCCCTCATGCTTAGCTTCTGGCCACAAACCCCTGGGGCTGCTAGGAACGTATTTGGTGGCATATGGAGCAGCCATGAGCAAAAGTCCACCATAGACGTATGTAAAAGCAGCTGACCGGGCTGGAGAGATGGCTCAGAGGTTAAGAGCACTGGCTGCTCTTCCAGAGGTCCTGAGTTCAATTCACATGGTGGTGTCCTCTTCTGTCATGCAGGTCTACATGCAGACAGAACACTGTATAAATAAATATATCTTTAAAGGCAGCTGACCAAGGTGTCTACTCAGGCTCAATCTCTCAGCTGCTCTGTGCCTCAGTTTCCCTACTGTGTGTGCATGTGCATGAGTGATTACGGGCACCTTCTCAAAAGGGTCTGGTATGAATCCTTGAGGATCTTTGCTGAAACCGGGGGACCTACTCATAACTACTCAGGGAGCACCTCAGCCTGCTCCCTTCCAGGGCTGCCAACAGATGTGCCATGCTCACAAAGGGACATCTACCACCACTTCTAGGAAGTAAAAGGCCTATCTCACAAAACTGGAGTACTTCCTACAAATCAGTTTCCTGCTTTAGAATTTTCTAAATTGATCAGCTGGGTAGTGGCAGTTTCTCAGCAGAAATTAGATGTTCCCAGTATGGCAGCTCTAGGTAGGCAACTTGCTCTGGGGGTCCCCAGGCACCACATCTTGAACACTGTAATCACAGACACCGTGCCCAACCCACAGTTGTCGCTAAAAGCTCCCTCTCCCAAATGTCTTCTGACAAACACCATCGTAATGTAGGCATGTGTGTGTCTGAGCACAACAGTGTACAATGTGGAGCTCGGAGGGCAACTCTGGGAAGCTGGCTCTCTTGTCTTTCCATGGTGGATGGGCTAGTTTATGCCAACCTGGCACAAGCTGGAGTCAGAGAGGGGAGGGAGCCTCAGCTGAGAAAATGCCTGTCAGACAGGGCTGCGGGCCAGCCTGTGGGGTTTTCTTCGCTGGTGGCTGATCGGGGAGAGCCCAGGCCACAGTGGGTGCCTCCACCCCGGCTGGTGGTTCTGAGTTCTGTGAGAAAGCAGGCAGCACCCCTCATGTCCCCCCATTCCAGCCTCCAGCTTCCTCCCCTGTTTGACTTCCTGTCGTGACTTCTCTGATGATGAACAGAGCTGTGCAAGTTTTAAGTTAAACGCTTTCCTCCCCATGTTTTTGGTCATGGGGTTTCATCAAAGCAGTAGTGACCCTGACTGAGACAGGTGGATTATGGGAACTCGTGCTGACAAGCTTGTATGACGGAGTGTTTTACCTGTTTAAGCCATCTTGCCAACCCAGCCAGAACCACACCTCAAGGAAAAAGCAAGCAGCAACCTGTGCTATGGCCCGAGGCTGACCTCGGCCTGTGTGTGCAGGCCCTCGGGCACTGTGGGCCCCTCCATCACATCTGCCCTCAGGCTGTGACAGCACAGCCTTTCCTTTGGTCCTGGGCACACCCTTCTGCTCTGAAGCCGGGAACTGCGAGCTGAGTCCCCACACGCTAAGCTACCAGTAGACAGGGGCAATAAGGCCACACCACTGCGATCTAGTGAGGAGCTGCCGCCTTTGCTAAGCCCGGGCACAGGGCAGGGCCCTCCCAGGCAGCAGCTTGGAGAAAGCAGCATGGACTGGTAGCTAGCTGTAGCTAAACACCTTCCTGGTGGCTCACAATCACTGTGAACTCCAGTTCAAGGGATCCAGTGTTCTCCTCTGGACTCCGCAGGAGCCACACAGGTAGTGCACAGATATACATGGGGCGACACAGACACACACACTAACTTTTTTAAAATGAAATAGATACAAAAGCAGCAGCAGCAGCTGAGGTCCCTGGCTGGGCTGGAGACACAGTCTCTTCCAGGAGGTGAATTCTTGGGTGGGAACAAATGGCCAGTACCTGCAGGGGACTGGAGCTTGAGTGCACAGGGGGCTGCCGGCCACCTCTGGCCAGCTTGGACAGGCGGAAGGAGAGAGGTAGGACTCGGAGCTAGTCTATGGCTTGAGCACCACTCCTGGCCATGCTATGAGGTTCTCTGGTCTCTGGCTCCCTGTCCCCCAAACCCAACACAGTAGAGAAAGACAGCAGGTGGCACAAAACGCTACAAAAAAAAAAAAAAAAAAAAAAAAAAAATCGATTTTACTATAAACAGCTGCAGGCATGCTGGCAGTCAGGCCCTGAGCGCGGGGCTGCAAGAGGGTGCCTCGGGCGCAGCTGTTCCCTTAGCCCTGTATTCTGGGCCAGGGCACCTCTCACACGCCAGCTGCAGGGCTAGGCCTCAGGCTTGGTTTTCATCCCCAGGGTGACGTCACTTGGCACTCAAGGATGGCCGTCTGTGTTGCTCCAGCAGCTCCTCCAGGTGCTCCGCCCGCTTCACCGCAGCCTGCAACACGTTTTGGTCAGGCCCCACATGGCCCTGCCCTAGTTGAGACCACCACAGACCCAGAGGGACCCACCTCGTGCTGCTTCCGGAGACTGTTCACGGCCTCCTCCTTCTTCGCCAAAGCCGTCTTCACCCTGCAGTGAGGTGCAGTGGGCCTCTGTAGCACTAGCCTCGGTCCCAGCTCGGCCTCCGACCAGCTGGTCTCAGCCCTGCCTACCCTGATCTGGACAGCTGGCCCTGGGCCACTGTCTCTGTGAGAACCCCAAGGTGGTTTTTGGAGGGAGGGGGCGAGGAGGGTGCTGTGCCAAGCAAGACAGGTGAGAAGTCACTTCATGATGTCTTTCTCGTGCTGGACACGCAGGCGGGTGCCCTCAGCCTCACGAAGGTCTGAGGGGTGCCGGTGCCCACTGTCACCCTCTCTGCAATGACCCTCTGCTGAACAGCGCCTGTTCCAGCCGGAATCCCGCCCACCTCCTGAGCCTCTGGACGCTCCGGAACCGACACGGGGAAATCCTAGCCATCCTGGGCCAGCCGGGAGCCGAGGGCACCAGCGCACGGGCTACACCTGCCTTTCTCAGAAGAGGAGGGGGCGCGTGGCCGCCCCCCGCAGCACAGGCCACCTACCTCCGATGCACCTCGTCCAGCTCCATCTGCTGGCGCGCCCGCAGCTCCGCCAGCTCTGCTTTCACCTTCTGGGACTCCTCCTGGGAGGCGGCCAGCTGGTCGGCAAACTCCTGTCTGACCACCTGGGCCAGGCTGGCCCGCTCCCCGCACCTCTGTGCGTTCACCTGGGCAGCAGGGTGTAGGTGGGTTTTAATTTAGAACAGGGCTGCTCTGGCAAAAGGTCACATCCAAAGCTTCGGGGAGAGAAAAGCTTGGGTCCAGGCATGGTGGGACACGCCTTTAATCCCAAACAAGGAAGGGAAAGGTACTTTGTAGAAGAAAGCAGCCATGTTTGAAAGTGATGTCTGAGAGACAGAAAAGGGGACGAATCAGAGAAAGACTTGACAGAATAGGATACGCCCAACTCGGGAGAAGAGAGGAAAGGGAAGCTGCTTAAGGAGTGACGGGAGGAGGCAGTTTTACCAGCATAGTAATAGAGACACGGCTGCAGAAAGAACAGGCTAGACTCGGGTGAAGACAGAATAAGCCAGAGAATGAGGAGCCAGAAGATTAGAGCAGACTGCTGGAGTTAGAGGCCAAGCAGAGCAGTTAAGAGAAAAACCAGATCGCATAGCTCAGCTGGGATAGGCGTATGAACCAGAGCAGCTGAGTTGACCCAGCCAGCCCAGCGCTCAGAACAGGAGGGTGAGTCTCGGAAGCTGAAAACATTCAAGCCCTAGGCTAGCTTGTAGGGAGACTAGAGGCTTGCAGGACTAAGCCTAGGCTAGCAGAGGAGGCAGGGAGCCTCTCAGCAGACAAATGAAAGCTGCGGCGGCGGGGCGCAGACAGGGCCTGGGCCACTCACCACCCTCAGGTCTTCTAGTTCCTTCTCCTTCTGCCGAGCCAGGGCCAGCAGCCGCTCCTTCTCCCCTTCAGCCTCCCCGAGGCGTCCTTTCAGCTCTGTGCACCGTTCCTGAAGCTTCCGCTCTGACTGCTCCAGCTCCGACAGCTCCATCTCGTACTTGTCCCGCACGCGCTTCACACTAGCAGGCAGGGGTGGCGGGGTGTGAGCAGGCTGCCGCTCCTGCTGCCTCTGCCCTGGGCCAGGCGCTGCCCGAAGAGGTGGGAGCAGGAGAAGCTCACCGGCTCTCGGCTGCCCTCTCGCTCTCCTCCTTGGCCAGCGTCATGTCCGCCTCCAGCCGCTGGATGACCAGCTCGATCTCCTGGTCCCGTCCTTTCCGGATCTCCTCCTTCAGCTCACGCTCCCTGGCCAGCAGCCAGGCTTCCTGTAGGGATGGACACAGCTGTCTCACGATCGGCCACCAGGAGGGCAGAGGGTGGAGACGCTGGGACAGTGGCAGAACCAGCCTTGCCGGGCTCCAGGGAACAGTTCCTGCTTAGAAGCGCAGGGAGACAGATCAGGGCGAAGGGCTCCAGCCCTGCCCAGGGCCCCAGAGCCCCAGAGGACTATGTCTTGTTTTCAGGATCTGAACACAGGGACATGAGATGGGCTTTGGGTAGTATGGCTCCTTAGCCAAGGAGGCTGTTCCTCTCTCTTGGAGAACTAAAGCCCAAGAAAACCAGCGAGTACCATCTGCTAGATGGGCCAAGCCAAAATGACAAACCTGCCCTGTGGCCAAGGGGCTTTCATATTCCCAAAAGGAAACACCAAAGGCCAAAGAGCCTTAGGGCCTGGGTATCAGCTGACTGACAGGCACAGACGAGGTGACCCCTGGAGAGCAAGGACAAGCCCTCTCAGGTCTCCAGATGTGCCTGGCGCCATTTCTTCTTGCTCTGATGCTAACCTGGATCCACATGTGGACAAGTGAGCAGCATGGACTGAACCACCAAGGCCCTTGAGCAGCTAGGAGTACAAGCCCCCAGGAGGCCCCGAACTACGGCCCACCCTGTCTGGGCCTACCTCCTTCTTGGCACAGCTGGCCACCCATGCCTGTCTCTCAGCCTCCAGCTCGTCCTTCAGGGCTTTCAGCTCCATCTGGAAGGGAACAGACTGTGAGCAGTTTGCGGTCCACGCCAAGGCCCTACCCACCCCATCCACCCCACCCAGGACCTCACACCACTGGGGTCAGGCGGAAGACACCCCCTCCCTCCACTGGAGGCCAGACGCAGCCAGCGCTCCAAGTGGGCTGGCGCGCCAACCTGGTGCCTCCGCTCCTGCTCCTCTCGGCTCCTCTCGAACTCGGCTCTCAGGGCTCTGGTGAGTGTCGCGCTGCTCTCCTCCAGCTGCTGCCTCAACTCCTCCAGCTCCAGCCGCTGCCTGCGGGCCAGTAAGAGTCAGGGGACGGAGGGTCATTGTGAGAGGGGCTGGGAGGCCAGGGGTCACTGTGAGGCCAGCCTCAGTGGCACCTGGCTGCCTGCTGGCCCAGTCGCTCCTTCTCTTCAGCCACCTCACTGTAGAGCCGCCGCCGCTGCTGCTCCAAGGCCCGCTGCTCCTGCTCCAGGTGCTGCTCAAACCTGCAGGACAGTGAGGACGCTCGCGCCACAGCGGGTGGCCACGGTGCCTTCACGGGGCCCTCTGTCATCCACAGACCCTCACAAGGCTGAGAAAAGGCCTCAGCTCAGCCGAGTGTGTGCCTCACTGTGTCTCAGCACTGGCCTGTCTCTGCTTAGCCGCCACTCTTGGGTGAGAGCCAGGCGCCTGGCTCTATGATCTGAGCAAGCTCCTGACGTGACATATGGGAGAGCACGGGTCAGCCAGGTGGAGAAGGCCAGTGGGCCACAGGAGAGGAGGGGACCTTGAGGACCTAGCCTGGGCACCGACAGTGAAGCAGCGGCTGTCCACTGGTCACTGGGGCCTCACTCAGCCAGGTTCCAGGCTCTGATGTTACAGCCTAGTCATACCTTAGAACGTGAACCCCTAGGGCTGAGGGAATGAAGGGGGATGACCTCTGCCACAGAGCAGCCCACGCAGCAGCAAGGCTGGCTGGCTGGGTGCCGTATTGGCCCACTGGCCTGCGGTGCCCACAGCCTCCAGCGGCCGCCCACCTCTGCTGGGCGCGCTCCCGCTCTTGCTGGCCCAGTGCCTCCTTCTCCCGCTCCAGGTGCTCCCGCAGCTCTTCCGCTTGGCGCAGGTGGCGCTGTGCGGCCTGCTCCTCACGCTGCTGCAGCTCAGCCTCGTGCAGGCCCCTGAGCCTCCTCACCTCTTGCTTGTGCTTGGCGATCAGTTTTTGGATCTCGGGCTCTAGACCTGTGGGGACAAGGGTGGCACCAGAGATGGGCTTCCAGGCCCCTCCCACCCAACCACTGCCCGGAAGCACAGCAGGCCTGAGATACTGAGGCGACCAGAGGCAGGGACTGCACTCCGGAGACTTAGCTCCAGAAGCGCCTGTGGCTTTCCCAGCCTTTCGGTCCCCAGATGTCCTGGTGCCCAGGTTCCTGGAGGAACAGGACTCCCATAAGGCCAGGCCGAGGTGCCCCCTAAAACCACCTAACGGTCCACAGCTCCTTCACATCTGCCAGCCTAAGGGGCCCTGGAGCTTCTCTTCTGCAGTTTTCTGGTTTCTGCAGTGTGACCTATAGGCCTTGACCTCCCTACGCTGGCCTCCAAGGGGGGTGGTGCCCTCAGCCTTCTGTGAACTGGGAGTCAGCAGCTGAAATGGGGTTTGCCTCTGCCCGCCACGGGCAGCCATCCCCGGGGCCTCATGCAGGAACGGCTATGGTCATCGCCATCACACGCAAGACTGAAGTTCCATTCTCTCAACATGTCCCCAACTACCTACGGCCAGGGCACGAAGGCCCACCTCTGACTGTGATTTCCTTGATCTTTTTCGTCTTCTCATTGATCCACTTCTCGCGGCGGATTTTCTCGGTGGCACTCATGAGTTCTTTGAGTTTCTTAATCTCCTGGGTAAAAAGCACAGGAAGCCAGAATGCAGAGGTGATGGGGGTCGGGGGCAAGCCCCGTCCTCCTCCCGGCCCACACTGCAGAGCTCCTTCCTCTCTTCCCAGGGGGAGCGACCACCCTACCACACACATTCCAGCCTGAGGCACTGTGTGGGGTAGTCACAGCCCAGCTTGTAGAGGCCCTGACATATAGGAAGACAGAGGATTAACGGGACACAGGAGAGAGAAGAGGCCCTCCATCCAGGAGCTGGTGTGCCCTTCAGGCTGACAGCCCAGCTGACAGCCCAACTGACTACCATGCCAATGCCTGTTCCCCTAAAGACACCGCCAACCACACCGTCAAGGACCAGTAAGTGCACCTCAGGGCAAAACGACTTCTAACTTCGATTTAGCAACTCTCTCATCCCAGATCTCGGCGACAGCCTTCATATGCTCACCTCACCACCTCACAGAGAGAAATTCTCTAACCCCTTAAACCTTGCACGTTACTCACACTAACAAGGTACCGCAGGAAGCGGCAGGATCGCACGTACATACCACAAAGAAAGCCCAGTCTCCCAGGGAAGCGCACACTCATGCCTGAGGCTCTCCTCAGCACATCTATCAAGTCCTTAGGAGTCTGTCAGTAAACTCCAACCCTGCTCTATGCTCAAATTCTTTTCCACAGGGAAGCCAAGGATCCCACTTTTGCCTGACCAGGAAGGGAGGTCCTCCGGCCACTGCGGACTGCCTGGAGCCATGACTCCATTCCGGCTGAGGCTGACAGGACCACGCAAGAACTCCAGTCTCCAACCCTGGCTCTGGGCTGTGGACACTGGGGTCTCCCACTGTCACTTGGGGCTGGGCTCCAGTATAGGGTGGCTTCAGGGATACCAGGCTCGTTTCCGAGAGAAGCCCAAGCAGGTCGCCGAGTCAGACTTTGACCCAGCGGCTGCTAGCCAATCTGGCAGGGGCTGCAGGAGCCTGGTGCAGCTAAGCTGAGCAGGTTCTGTTACTCAGGATGTCACTGGAGTAGGCTAGGCTTAGACTCCTGGGTCCATGGTCACTGTCCTGTGACAAGGGCCAGGTGGGCCGTCGTTGCTTACCTGAGATGTGGCAGCCCACACCTCAGGACCTGTCCCTGTCTAACACTTGGATACAGTTCAAGAGGGAAAGGGAGCCAGTGGTGGCGCATACCGACAATCCCAGCACTCAGGAGGCAGAGGCAGGAGGATCTGAGTTCAAGGCCGGCCTGGTCTATAGAGTGAGTTTTAGGACAGCTAAGGCTACACAGAAACAAAAAATTCGAGAAGACAAAGGGACTGAAGAAAAAGGGAAAAGGTGCTGGCAATCTTTCCACTGGTCCCCTAGCCCCTCGCCCCTCGCCATCCTCAGGCCACACTGCCATGTGCCCCGGGCACTTGCCCAGCCAGGAGCTCACCAGTTCGTGCTGCCCCTAGCCCCGCGCCATCCTCAGGCCACACTGCTATGTGCCCCTGGGCACTTGCCCAGCCAGGAGCTCACCAGTTCGTGCTGCTCCTGCATCTGGGTCACACGTTCCCGACTCCGCTCGTCCCCTCGCTTCAGCTCAGCCACCACCGCCTCGCACTTCTCACTCAGAACTCTCTTGTCTTCGATCAACTGTGACGGGGTGGGGTGAGGCGCTGGTGTCTATCCTTAGGCACCGCCACTGCGCTGGCCAGCTCCAGAGCCACCCCGGGGCCTCGGCCACAGCGGCTCTCCAGTCAGCACTGCTCTCCCTGGGGCTATAGCCTGTCTGCAGCCCGCCGCCTCCCAGAGCCGAGTCACCTGGTCAATGAAGGACAGGTGCCGCTGGATGGTGGCCTCGTAGTGCTCCTTCTGCAGCCGAAGCTGCCGGCTCAGCTCCCTCTCCGCCTCCCTGACCCGTCGGATGGTGAGGTCACGCTGTTGTGCCTGCAAAGAGTACAGATAGACACTGGCGCTGGATGCCCGCCACACACCAGGCCCTGGGCTCCATGGGCTGACAATGGATCAGGCGTCTCGAGTGGGGGGCTGGCTGGCCCTGTCCCAGCTAGCGCCCCGGGGGTGATGGCCAATGGTCTCACCAAGGCTCTCTGCAACAGAACCATGGCCTGCTTCTTCTCCTCCACCTCCAGCTTCAGCCGCATCATGGATGAACTCCCCTCAGACCCTGGTTCCAGGGGTCTTTGGCCCGCCTCTGGCCCCAGGCTCTAAAGATATGACAAGCCTCAGGCCACCAGCAGCCACTGCCCACCTCCATGCCCCCGTTCCACCCTGCTGCAAGGGAAAATGGCTATGTGGGACATCTAGGCAAGGGGCGTGGATGACGGGTCAACCCCCAGAGACTGTATTTATCATCTGGTGCAGACAGAGGGCTATGGCCTGGATGCTCAAACAGATCAGGAGGCATGGTGGACCCACTCCTGAGCTTCTTGCCCCCGTGAAAGTGAGGCTTATCCCTGCACATGTCATGGCCACTGGTGGTGATTCAGGAAAGGTCTAGAGCCCAGGGATGTCAGGACCACCCAGCGTCCAGGGTAGGACGAGGCAGCCCTGGCAGCTTTTGCCTCTTCAGAGCTCAGGGTAGGATGCTTGCTGCATGGGGGCCTTGCAAGTGCTCACTTCCCGCTGGGGGCCACTCGGGCACCTGGGGGCTGACTACCTCCCGCCGGGGTGCTGGCCGGTCCTGTCCTGACTTCTCCATCTCATCCAGGAAGCTCATGATGCTCTGCAGCTTGGCCTCTGACAGCAGAGTCCCATCATCAGGTGGGCTGGGGTGTGCACTGAGTTTCCCGAATTTCTCCAGATTGTCAGCTGTCAGGGAGCTGGCATCCTCCTCCTGCAGCATTGGGGGCTGTCAGGAAAGCCTGAGAACTTGGGGTCCCTCAGGGACAAGGGGCAGTGAGGTTGGGGAGTAGACCTGGATATGGGTAGAAGGGCCTCCCTAGCTGCTCAGACCTTTGAGTATTGCTACAGAGAGGGGTGTACTCTCAAGGGCCACCGTGTCCTGGCCTCAAGACCAGACAAGAGGGGAGGGCGGAGGTCAACAGGCCACACGCGGCCCTTGTGCAAGTCTCCACTGAAGCAGGAGTATGGTGGCACCCTCTGGAGGCTCCTGACCTGGGTGGATGGTGTGGGTGCCCGGTGCCCACTCGCCTCGTCAGTCCAGGCAGGTCTGTCCTTGTGAAAGGCCTTGGGGCGGGGCAGTGGCTCAGGCTCCTCCTCCAGGAGCCTCAAGGTGTCAAGCAGCTCGTCCAGGGTTGCTCTGGCCCTGGCCTTGCTCTTGGCTGTACCCAACTCTTCCAAGTCCTGTCTGGCTACATCCTGGGAATGCATATCCTGCAGCAGACAGGCAGGGGTCATCAGCAAGACCAGTGGTGGCTCAGCGCCACCCCAGGTACAAGGCCACCCAGTGGTGGTGGACAGGGCCTGTGCCTGTTCCCAAGGGTCAGAGCATCTGCTACACGTCTCGAGGTGCTGACTTCAGGGGACAAAGGCTCCAGCCAGTGTCACACTGAGCTGTCTTGTGGCTTTGCTGTCCCGTTTAAATTTCCAGTTCCTCTTCCTCAGAGGACGCAGAAACCCTCCCCTGGCGAATGTAGCCTCGCAGGGTCTCAGAGCAGTTCTGTGAGACCTCACCCCAACGAGATCACCAGGCTGCTGTTTCACATCACAACAGGAGCCCTCTGGGCATCCTCTCGGGACACAAGGGACCCCAAAGCTGAAGAGGGGGCTTCGGCCACCCAGGCACTGACATGTCCCAAAGCCAGAGGGGAAAGAATGCCATGCCCAGACCTGCGGCCTGTCCTCTGGAGACTGCTGGGGTTCGGGGGCTGACTCGGAGGCGGGAGGCCAGGGCTCTCCAGGGCCTGTGGGGTAGATGCCGGCACCTGTGAAACAGAACACAGTGTCACCCCCTCCCCAGGGTCTGAACCTGGAGGTGAGTTGGGAACAAGCCAGGTAAAGCCCAGAGAGACACTGCGGATCCTGGCTTTCCAGAATGTAAAGTTGTGGGGGAGCAAGTATAACCCAAGTGTTGGGCCTCGGTTGTAGAGGTCCCACTGCCAGGATAATTTGTCACAGTCTGACCACCCAGCACTAAGTGGCCCAGGCAGCAGAGGTGAGGGCCTGGGGCTGAGGTCCTAGTTCCACAGGAGAGAGTCGCCATGCCTCGGCCACATGAGGACCGATTCTGGCAGAGCCCACAGCTGCTTCCTGTCACAGGCCTCCAGGAGTCTCGTGGACTGAGGACCACTCACCAGAATTGTTGGCCTTGGGGTGGGCGGCACTGCCATGCATCGAGGGTGGCCCCTGGGAGGGTTGAGGCTGCTCTGGGGCTCTGGGCTCTGGTCTGTCCTTCGGCAGCCTGGCCTCAGCCTCGGCTGCCTTCTGGGCTCGTTTCTGCTGCAGTTCCTGACGGACGAGCATCTCTGAGCAGGCCCCTGCTGCAGGGCGTCCCCTTACCCTCTTGCAGCACGGCTATGCCGGGACTCAGTGCGCGAAAGCATTAGTCCCACACAGGATGGGCTGGGGCCAAGCAGTGCTCTCTGGTATACAGGCTGTGGGGCGATGCCTGGAGGACCCGGTACCTGAATGGCTGCCTGCCTGGCCTGGCGAGCCTTCTCCTCCCGGGCCTTCTTCCTTGCTGCCTCTTCCTGCCGGTGCAGGTCCAGAATGTTCCCACTACCCAGGCGCCGCCTCTGCCCCTGCCAGGGAAGCCAAAGCCACAAACTTTATAGACCTGGAACACGTACAGAGACCTGGTACCTGCCGGGAGGTCTGCACAGGACCCCGAGAGTCATGGGAATCCACAGTCCACCAGCATACAAGAGGAGAGAACCCGAGGACGCTGAACTTGCCATCTTGGCTCAGCAGTGGGCCAGACCCACACAGCCGTGCCATGGGGGCGGGGCGGGGCACATCAGTGAGAGACAGCTCCGCAGCACCCAGCCAGGAGTTTGCTCAGAGTGTCATCCTGGCACATCACTCCAACAGCAGCTTCAGGGACCAAATAAGCCCCACAGAGGACTATGCACTTGTGGGTAATTAGGTCGAAACTCCACTGATCTGTTTAAGCACTGAGACCCTGAGGACCGTGCCCAGCCCCCAGGTGAGCCTAGGTGAGCCTACACGGTCACACTGACCTCTCGTTTGGATGCCAGCAGGTGCTCCAGGCTTGCCGTTCCTGCTCGGCGCCTCTGTACCTGGCAGCGGTACCAGCGTTGGATAGTAACTGCAGCCTGGTTTACCTGGTGGATAAACCTGCCAGAGAACCAGACTCAGGACCAGAAGGGGCCGCCACAGCCCTGTGCCCCCAGAACAAGGACCCATTAGCCAAGTGTCAGTGGAAAGAGACAACGGCGGCTCTCCATGGCTCTTTCCCACCAGGCTACGGCGAGGAAGGCCAGTCCTCCTAGACTCCTTTAAACCCCAAATGCTCCCTCCTGGGAAGCTGCCCGCTCCTCCCAGGGGATGCAGCGTCCATCTATGGAGAGCTGGACGGCTTCGTGCTTAGCCACCAGCGAGTGGAAGGGCTGCTGACAACTGGTAGCGTGCACAGTGGCGCTTCCAGCCACAGAGCGAGAGTGCGCACTGCAGCCTGCGCTGAGCCCAGGACCCCTCAGCGTGCAGAGGGAGAACAGGGAGGCACGGAGACCAACAGCTCAGTGGTTGCCGAGGTCAGGGCAGACAGCTGGGCTGGCTGAGGGAACTGGGAAGTTGTAATAGCCTAATTTTATTGTTACTTATCGGAGGGTTTCTTGTTCTGTTCTGAAGACAGGGTCTCCCTAGGTAGACCAGGCTGGCCTTGAACTCACAGAGATCCTCCTCTGCCTTCTAAGTGCTGGGGTTAAAGGTGTGCACCACTGTACCCATCACTTATTTACTTTTGTGACAGGGGCCCCTGTGTTCCACTCCACTCTGGCCTCAAATCTGCCATGTAGCTGAGGGTGACTGCAAATTCCTGATTCTCTGGGCCATGCGCCACCAGGTACATCCGTCCAGTGGGTGCACGTTAAAACCACACCCACTGGGCCGAGGGGAACCGTCCGTGGTATACAGCTGAGCACATGCAAGCCTGCGGGTCCCATCCCAGCACCGCAAGAAAACAGCTCAATAAAGCTGGCTAGCAACCCCTCCATCCCGGCTGCAAGGGCCGTGTGCACATTTGTTTACCGGGATGACCGCAGAGGGTCAAGTGTCTTCAGCAGCCTGCCACGGGCACCCTGGCTCTGGGCAAGACGGCTCCAGGCCTCAGTGCCCAGCACCCCCCACTGTCTACTGCAGGACCCCTCCCTTATGCTCTGCCCTGAGGCACAGCCAGGCAGGTGGTCTGGATATAAGGCCTGAGGCCACCTGGGAGGCCCCAGTGCAGCTGTTTGCCCACTAAGGGGCCTGGCAAGGAGCCACCGGGCAGCTACAGAAGGCCCTGGCTGTGCCCACCCCTGCAGCCCCAGAGGGCAGCGTCAAGGACAGCCCCACAGGCAGGTGTTTTTGTTCTCCTCGGTCTTTTATCTTCTTTCTGCTAAGTGTGTTTTTAATCACCAGTTTTACTGAGGTATAATTACCATGCTATAAAACCCTCCCATTTGTGGCACACAACTCAATGCTTTTTGAGGCAAATTTACAGGGTTCTGCATCCATCAGCACAATCCAATTCTAGAACATTCCCATCAGCCCTGAAGAACAGTCCCTGTGGCATCCTGGTTCCTGCCAAGCCCCAAGCAACCACACCCCTCCCCATATAACCATCTTGCCTTTGCATTTTATACATGCAGAGTCTCGGCAAGCATGGCCTTCCCATTCACGCTTCTAAACACCAACCAGCAAGTGGAAACGCTTATCACTGTACTCGGGTCCCAACTCCCCGTGAGCAGTCACCTCTCGGCTTCCTCCTCAGTCACCTCCTTCCGTCTCAGCAGGCCGGTGGTGCCCCGGGCAGAGTGACCGCCACTGGAGAAGTTCTTCCGAGGCTTCACAAAGTCACTGCCCTCACTGCCCTCACGCGCTGCTGCCTTGACAAGATTGCTGACAGGATGAAGAGAAACCCAACTCTGTCCCTGAGCCATCCATGGCCCCAAGCCTGGAGGAGGCCCGAAAACCATGGTGCAAGGCTGGCCCTTCAGCTTCACCCTGCTGCCCGGAACTACCTGTGCCCCAAAGCCCCACTGGCTGGTAGCTGGGTGAATGTTCTTTTAGGGCACAGGCTTTGCTGCTGTCTAGTTACCCCAGCTGTGGTACCATTTTGGATCTGTGTGTGGACAGGAGCCTTCCTCCAGGATCCACCCTGGCCAGAGACCCGAGTGTCCCCAGTTGGCTGTTTGTTGTCCCCCAAAGCCTGCCTCGGCCCAGATGGCACTGCCACCGGCGCGAAAAGCCAAGAGCCCTGTCACGTGCACACATTGTACCTTCAGCTGCACACACCGCAGCCTCCCGGGGCCCGCCCCGGGCCCACGATTCCTGTGTGCGGGCAGGCCTTACTTGAGGGAGGAGGCTGTCTGGTTGGAGCTCTTGGGGGGTGACGCCTTCTTCGAGGACGCATAGTGGTTATGCACCATGGTGGTGACACAGTTGCCCACGGCTCCTTTGTTGCTCCTGCCGGAGAGACCGGGGAGCAGTGGGGCTGGATGAGACAATCTTGTGGTTTTACACGCTCGTGTACAGACTCTCAGCGCATACTGCGGCAACGAATAAGCACCCTGGGACCCCACGGCCTGCGTCTTTTTTGGCCACCCAGGGGCCGAGCCTTTTTTGGGTTACAAGAGCCCTTTCCCTCACCCAAAGGAAGTGGATGGCATCTCCAGCCCAAGGCCAAGGTGCACATGCACTTAGAGGTGGCCCTAAGTGCTTCCTGCAGCGGCTTCTCCTGGTCTGTCTGTCGGTGAGGCCACAGCACCGGGACCTGCCACGGCTCTCACACATGCTTTGTCCCTGGCAAGCATGACCCCAAGAGTGACAAGCGAATCCCGGACGCAGCCTCACCCTTGGCAGGCAAGTTGGGAGTCCCAAGGTGGCACAGCACCCCCCCCCCAAAAATGAACCCTCCAAGTTGGCTACAGCTGGCCCTGAGGGAGCACCCTGGACCTGAATGAACCCTCCAAGCCAGGTAGAGCTGGCCCTGAGGGAGCCCCTGGACCTGAAATGTCTGCAAAGTACAACCGGGTGACCCGGCCCCTAGAAGGAAAGGCTGCCCCAAGGGAGAACATTCCAGGAGGCCTGCTGTGCCAGAGCACAGCTGCTGCCCTTGAACAGTGGCCAAGGGTCGCTTCTGTGCAAGACACCCCCTGATGGGATCCTCCTTTGGCTGAGGGAAAGCGGTGCATTCAGTCATTGACTTCTCTGTTCATTATAAACAGCTTAACCCCGGTACGTGAAGGACAAAGCCAGAGTTCCTGGACCAGGAGTGTGCTGGACCCACACCTGTTGTTAGCCGTGAAGCTGGGTGCCAGGGCACACTCCTTCCTCCGAGGGCCCAAGGCAGGGTCGAGGGTGCTGGGACTCTGGACACTGGCCGGCAGGGCAAGGCCCCTAGGCTGGTCATCCTGTGGATCACACGGACGCTTCTCAGTCTGGGATACAGAGCACAACCCAACACCAACACCAAGCCCTTCCGTGTCATGAGGCGGCAGATACCATGCCCCAAGGGACCAGTGTTAGGGTCAAAGCTCACTGAGCCCGAGCCACGCCCTCTGTGCAGCTGTTGCCCCTCTCCCGGGGCAGAGGCAAGGCAGAGGCACAATGGATAAGGCAGGAGCACCAGGACTCGTGGCTGCCGCAGGCCTACCCTTACCAGGACATTCCACGTTGCTCCTTTCTCACTGGACGCCTTGCTGAGACTGGCCACCCTCCGTCTCCCTCTTGTGCCACCCTCAAAGAGCGTCAGGAAGTCGGTGGGCTCCGCTGGCCTGTGTCAAGGAGAGGTGAGCACATAGTCACAGTTAGGGCGCCAGGACGGAGGCAGGCCCGTTTCTCACAGAGAACAGGGGGCAGGGCTCCAGTCCAGGAGTCTGGTCTCACACCGAGTTTCACAGGATGTTTCTGGGGCTGGAGAGTGGACACGGAGGCCGAGAGCACCTGCTGCTCTTGCTCAGGACCCAGGTTTGGCCCACAAGCCTCTGTAACTCCATTTCCAGAGAATCTGACACTTTCTTCCTGGCTCCTGAGGGCAGCAGGTGCATGCATGTAAGCAAACATTAGATACATTAAAAAAGGTTTTTGTCCCTGACCTGCAGTCCCACCTGGCAGAGGCGCCTCGGTTGAACAAGGTCTGGAAGCCTGGGAAGTCTGAGCAGCCCCTCTGAGCCCGAGGACCAAAGGCCTCCACACAGGCTACCAGCTATGGCCACTACCCACATACCCCTCCAGACAAAGAGCCACGCACCAATCGGCTCAAGAACATCAGTGCCGACAAGGAAGATCAGCTGATGGCAGGGACTCCCCGGGCAGCTGTGCACATGCTGTGCCCCAAGGTCCAGGCCTGGCGGTGGGAGGGCACCTGGTGCCACGCCCATGTGAGGCCTGAAGCCCTGGCGGCAAGTGTAGGCTGCGCACAGGGTGATGCAGTCCAGCAGTCCGTCAGAGTGAAGCGCTGTCACACTGGCACACAGTAGGCCTTGACAGGGTCACGCTTGGCGGAAGGGCCAGATCCAGGAGGCCACACGGTATCTGACTCTCTTGTTGTCAGGAATGTTAACAGCCAGATGCACCGGGCAGAGTGCAGACTGGGGGAAGCCGGAGGACACAGAGAGCCTCAGCAGATACGAGGTGGGCCGTCTAGATGGGGCCATCGTGGTGGCCGCATTGGAAATGCGGACTGGCCCAGATCTGGCTCTGGAGCACGGCACTCGCCTGGTGCACACACGGCCCTGGCTCCCAGCTCCAGCTCCCACAAAGAAGTGCATCTCTGAGGCATTCCTGACACACATGCACTGTCCAACACAAGAACTGTAGGCCAACAAAGTGGACAAGTGGAAGGCAGCAACGGCAGCATCACCAGCTGCAGACCGCCGTTTCCACACTCCACAGGGAGGAGCGAGGCCTGGCAGCCAGCTCTCAGAAGGCTCCTCAGCTGGGTCCTGTCTCTGCGGAGCCCAGACATACTCCTGCCAAGACTGCCACACTGCCACACTCCACACTCCCAACAGAGGCCAAGAGCAGTGTTGGCATCACCAGCCACATTGCCAGGCCACAGAAGAGGTACCTTCATGGGGAGAGGGGTGGACTCATTCTGCCTGCACACACACCAGGCAGCGAGGTAAGAGGAGGGACGAACAGCCGTCCTACGAGGTGCTGAAACCCAGAAAGGCCGCTGTGCACACAGTCAACACTGACACCATCAGAAACATGGGGAAGAAGACCCGGCTTGCGGCGGCAGGGACTGCGAGGTCCTAGACAATCTAGCAAGAAATAAGCAAGATTTGCATGGACACTGGGGCTGGCGGAAGTTGGTAGAGCTGATGAAAAGGTCACGAGGAAATAAAGATGAGGGCTGGAGGGATGGCTCAGTGGTTAAGAGCCTGCAGTGCTCTTCTGAAAGTCCTGAGTTCAATTCCCAGCATCCACATGGCAGCTCAACTGTCTGATGCTGCTGTGGTGTGCAGACAAAGTACTCATATACATAAAATACGTAAGTAAATAAATCTGAAACAAACAAACAAACAAGGACCAGAGGCCACAGGACTGAAAGCCAAGCTCAGCTACTCTCTAACAATTGCCACTCAATAAGCACAAGACAGAATGTGGCCAGCTCGGTAGAGCGGGCAGGAGGCAGGCCGCAGCACTGCATGAAGGCAGAGTGCCGTGGCTGAATCCGAACCGTCCCTTACACACACTCAGTCCCAGCATGGAGAGCCTTCAGGAAGAGGGTCTGGCTGGTAGAGGGATGGCAATAGGAGTGGGCCTTTCACGGTTACACTCGGGGTTCAGCATGGCCCCTCCCTGCTTCCTGTCTGCCACGACGCAAGAGGGTGCCACCACAAGCTCCCACTGTCTGTGACAGCGATGCAAAACTAGAGGCACACAGAAAACTGGAGCAAAGAGAGAGTTGTTGCTGTGATAAACTGCCGTGTTGGCCTCGGGAACTGGTCTGTGACAGGGACTTGGAAATTTGGGGCCATCGGCGAGAGAAACCCTAGAATGCTGTGGGCTGCGCCAAAAAACACAGCTGGGAGGAGTAAGAACCAAACAAGGGCCTCACCTTGTTACACTGTAGCCACAGATCTGGCTACATTTTGCCCGAGTCCTCGAATTTTGGGTGAGGCTGATTTCAGAAGCAACAGACGAATTTATTTGGCAGGAGAAATTTCATGACAGCATGTCATTCAAGCTGAGACTTTTGGTGAGATTTACATTAAAAGCCGAGAGAAAACAGCAGTGAGGCAGGGTTTTACAGACTGAGTAGCAGGTAGAATGGGGAGAAAGGCTCCCATTAAGAAGCTGCAGGTACAAAAAGACACTTTGCACACGGACAGCAGGAAAAATTCCTTGAAAGCAGACCCCGCTGCCAAAGGCTCCAGGACTTGAAGATATAAACAGTTCAAAAGATGTTCATGAGGCTGGAGAAGAAGCTCAGTGGTGAAGAGCCTGAGTTCAATTCCCAGCACCCACTCGGTGGCTCACAACCATCTATAATGAGAGCTGGTGCCCTCTTCTGGTGTGCAGGTGTACATGCAGATAGAGCACTGTCTACAGAATAAATCTTTCCCTTAAAAAAAAGGATCTCTTTGGGAATTATGCTGATAAGGGCTGGCGCTGGGCTGGGTTTTGCTGTCATCTTAACAAAATCTACAATCAGCAGGAGACGGGCCTTTCAGTATGACTCTGGGATTATCTGTGATCCAGTAGCTTGTGTGGGACATGTGGGATCCTGGGCTGCCCCCACGGGGACAGGAGCTGAGAGGCCCCGGCACTGTCCTCCAGCTGCTCCCAGCTGCCCCTGCGCTGCCTGCACTGCAAGGACGACGGCACCCTTGGACCGTGATTCAGGATGAACACACTCCTTAGATGGCTTTTGTCAGGACTTGAGCAGAGCCAACAGGAAAGACTAAGACTCAGCTGCTAACAAAGCTAGGCCTGCTCGCCAGCAGCCAGCAGAGGGCGGTGTGTCTGCAAGGGCTTGGTGGGTGTCGTTCAATGAGCATACACACACACACACACACCATCCATACCCCACAAACAGCACAAACCACAAATACTCCACAACACGTGGCACACATGAAGCATGCTCCACAAATCCATATGCCACAGACGTGCGTGTGCGGGCCCTGTGCCCACCCCACACCCCAAGTAGATCCTGCATTCTCAGCCCCTGGCACTTTGGTGGAGTGGATCCTAGGAATCGGGCACACTGTCTCGGGCACAGTCCCCAGGGGCCCTGTGCCTGTCTGCTTGGTGGCCGCTGGGACGCTGAGGCTGTCTGCAGGTAGCAGTGGGCAGCTATTTCCCAGGAGGGGCCGCCTCCGCTGGCTCAGAACCTCGGGATTGTTTCTGAGTCTCACACCTGCTGCCTGCGGAATTCCCAAGGAGGGCCTACTGGTCCTCCAGACCGGCAGCACTGGCCACTTCTGGCTCTTTATCGGCCTCCCAAGCACGAGGCTCCAAGGCAGCCTTCCACTGTCCAAAGGGCAGGAGAGGCTACTGTGCAGATTTTGGCCCACAAGCAAGCTTACCCATGCTGCCCACCTCACTGAGTACCCCAGAGAAGGTATGGCAAAGAAGAGGGGCGAGAGGGAGCTACCCAGAGGGCCCAGGATCTAACGTCCAGCACCGACATAGCAGGACAGTGACCGTACTTGGCTGTCCCCGGCCCTCCCAGCTCAAAAGAATAGAGTGGGACCCAAGGGCCAGACAATGAGAAGGTCGCCAGATCCACTGCCCAGCAATGGGGCTGCAGGCAGGAACGGCCACTGCCCAGCCATGCCCTCGGCTGACGGAGCTGCAGGAAGGGCTGGCTGGAGGCCCTGGTGGGATGAGGGTCACCTGGGAAGATTACCTGGGGGAGCCGGCCCATGCCTGGTTGACCTGTGTGGCACTATTAGATCTCCGAAGGTTGTTGATAGCGCGCGAGCCCCCAGGCCCTGCGGCCTCCTGCAGAAGGAAAAGGGGCCTGGTTAGTGAAAAAGGCGAGGCAATGGGCTGGTGGCTCAGCACCAGCCAGGCCTCAGAGAGACCATCGGGAGCAAGGAGTTTTCTGGGTCCCCAACAGGCCGGAGGCTATCAAGGCGGCGGCTCATGGACAGGTAAGGGGGCGGCTACAGGACAGGATGGATGGCAAGCAACGCCAGGCCTGGCCCTAGCTTCTGAGAGCCTAGGTGTATCGCACAAAGTGGGGAGCCCTTCGCCCCTGAGTCACAGAGGGCTGGGAGGTAGCACAGGGCCCTGCTAGGAACCACTTGCTGTGTCACTATCACCAACAGTGAACCTAGTGTTCCCAAGGGGTGGAAATGCCGCACTGCAGGGAGTGGGACAGCAAGCAGAGTGGGGCGTAGGTCATGCACAGCCCAGGAGTGGTCATGGCACCCCAGCAGCAGGCTCCACTCCCTTCCCTTGCCCTCTTTAAGCCGTGGCGCAGCCCGCCCCCTCTCAGTAATACGGAATCATAGAATACACCAACCGCCGCTGCATCAGCGATGGTTGGGGACCCTCTCCTCCCCCTGGTTTCCTATGGCAGTTTCCCCTGCACGCTGAGGAAAGAGATGAGGGAGGCTTCCACTGAGGTTATCAAGAACTCATCAGCCCAGGTGCAGGACCCCTCCTGGAGACACAGCTGACCTGCCCCACTGTCACATATGTGGCATTGGCCCCAACAACAGGCCTGGTCTCTGGGGATTTAAAGGCCTGCCCAGAGCAAACACCCTTCAGAGCCCTAACGAGATCAAACAGGGATAAGGACCAGCAGTAAAATGAGGCCCATGCAGAGGTCTGGCCAGACGGCTGTTCTTTCATTCTGTACACTGGAGTGGAGTCACTCTATAGAATAAACAGCTGCACCACTCCCACATGGGGAGGGCTTGGAAGCTTTCTCCACCCAGAACTGACTCACACAGGAGGACTGCCCTCCGAAGAAGGCCAGGAGAGTTGGCTACCAGTCCAGGTAGCCAGAGGAAGGCAGCCATGCAGCAGGGTCCTCAGCTACACAACTGTCTCCATGAAGCAACAGATCTTTGGCCCACATTTGTGGCCCTGGCTTGCCACCATGCTTAGGGCTTCAGGGCAGTGGAGGGATCCAGACAGGAGAGTGGGGACCACAGTCATGCTAGTCTGAGCTGGCCGTCCCCCTGCTGAGGCAAACAACTGGTCTGACATTCCAGATCCTTGCTCCACCGCAGCGACTTGACTTGTCCAAACCAAATGTCCTTTATTGGACTGCCCTCTCTGTCCCAGAACACAGCCTGAGCAATGGAGGCCTACCCACCTGACAGAGGTAACTCTTTCAGGAAGAACAAAGAAGTGAGGCGAGCTTTTTATCAAGAAAGGAAGCTCAGACCATCAACCAGTCCTTACCCTCAGCAAGGACCTGCTTCTCAGGTAGAGTCACAGACTACAGCAACACCAGGTCACGCCCAGGCTCTTCCCTGTTCTGGAAGCTCAGGCCAGACTCAGGCACAGCCCTGGCCCCCTCTCCCAGCCTGGCCAGAAGGATGCCTAGCAGACAGTGGCTTTGGCTTGCAGTCCAGCGTGGTCCCTCATGGTCATCCCGTGACTTCTGAGTGACGCCCCTGACCCATGCCTCACGGAGGGAGGCAGGCTGGGAAAGGAACGGCAGCTCTCCCCAAAGCCCTGCCCCCCACCCATCTGCTGACGCCCCAGTTTCTACAAGGCCAAGTAGCTCGTCACCCTCCCACTGGTCCACCCACTTGAAGAATCAAAGAAACCTAAAGACAGTGGAACAAGAGGGTCCAGGCTAGGCGCCAGAAGACGTGGGTCTGCTACCGCACAGCTGAGTAGCCCCGTGCGGTCCAGCTCCTCCCTGCCCACGGGGTATGAGGAGGAGTATGTGGGTATGAGCTACGTGGTCTCGTAAGGAACTGTAGCCAGAGACCAGGTGCCACCCAAAGGGGCCCCGCACTCACCAGTGCCTTTTTTCTTGGCTCACTGTCCGTGGCCACAGAGATGGAGCGGACAATGGACTTGGTGGCAGAGGCGCTGCTGGGCCGCTGGGACATGGGAAGAGGGAAGCCAACCAGACTTAAGTCTACACCTTCTGGGCTGCCTTCAGGAGTCGCGCTGATGGTCCGTGAGCCTTTCATGGTGGACAAGGCTACCCCTGGGGAAGAAATAAGAGACACAATTAAGACACCATCGTAGGGGCTAGGGATGTAGTTTAGCCCTGTCTCCAGCGTGGCATAGAGCCAAGTATGGTGGTGGACACATGCAATCCTGGCACTCAGGAGGGAGAGGACCAGGAGTTTAAGACCGCCCTCAGATATATGGTGAATTCAATTTGAGGTCAGCCTGGGCTATGAGAGATGACCCAGTGGTATAGGGTGCCTGTTGCTCTTCTAGAGAAACAGAACTTATTCCTAGCACCCATGTCAGTGGCTCACAACTACCTGTGATTCCAGCTCCAGGGGACCTGATGCCCTCTTCTGGCCTCTGTGGGCACACATACATACACATAATTTAAAAGAAATATATATGTATTTTTCAAGACAAGGTTTCTCTATGTAGCCCTGGCTGTCCTGCCTGTAGACCAGGCTGTCCTTGAACTCACAGAGGTCCACCTGCCTCTGCCTCCTCAGTGTTGGGATTAAATGTGTGTGCCACCACCACCCTCTTTGTGAACTGATCCAAGTGTTCAACCGGGACCGGTCCTGAGGTGTGGGCTGCCACATCTCAGGTAAGCAAGGACGGCCCACCTGACCATCTTACAGGACAGTGATGGTGGTGCACACCTTTGATCCCAGCACTTGGGAGGCAGAGGCAGGCTGATCTCTGTCAAGGAGCAAGTTCTAGTACAGCCAAGGCTACACAGAGAAAACCTAACTCAAGAAACAAACAACAAAAGAAGAGGAGGAGGAGGAAGAAAGAAAAGACACCATGGAGGAACCTCAGCCCTTGCACTCACTACCTCAACTAGCCCTGGACTACCTGCCACCCAACCCTGGAAGCCACCAGGACGGGGGAGCCTGGTCAGGAGCCCAAAGAGACAACTGCTCTAAGCCTACACTGAGCTCTGAATGGGGAGCAGTGAGTGGCTGACACATGGCCCTGTAGGCAGAGGCCAGCAATCCCAGACGGTGGTAGCAGCGGGCAGCGGTGGGTGTGAGCTTGGCCTGGCACTTATCCCAGTCCTACACCTTCATCAAGGTACCTGCTCAAGACATCCTCTGCATTTAAAAAAGCCCATCTTCCGGAGCTATCCTGAGGTAAACGTGACTCTGAGGGTGGACCCTGGAGATCCCTCAACAGCTTCTAAGCTACTCTAGCAGGGTGTGGAATCACAGAACATCCACGAGCTTCGGGGACATGGCAGCTGTTCTGTTTCGGAGGCGCCCTGCTACCCCCCTTTCAGGGCGCTCCCACAGTCTCCCCCACTGTCTCTTCTGTCCCCTGAAAGTCCCAGGCCTCCTGGACTCAGACCCATCATCTCTCCCCTATCCACCCTCTCATCTGGTGACCATGTCTGGTCCCTCCATACTGCATCTCTGGCCCAGCCACTGGGTCCTTCCCTGTCTGGCCAGGGCTCATCCTCACTCACCACATGCTTTTAACCGCTCTCAGCTCACTTTACACCCCCAGCGGACCAGCGGACCGGCTTCCCGGGACAGCAGGACGAATCTGAACACCCAGACAAGCCCAGCTTTGACCTCCTCTGCCACCTCACATTAACCAAACCCGCCTTCCTGCTGTTCCTCAAACCTGGGCAGCGCCTCCCAGCACACCTCTGCATCTGCAATCCCCCTGCCTCCACACTGACCATCAGTTTTCCTCCTTTCAAACTGTTTTGCTCTGTCTAGGCCACCCTTGAGACAAGGGACCATGGAGTCTCGGCCCCTGGCCTGTGGGAGGCACTGAGGCAAGAGACAGGGGCGTGTGTGACTACAATCCTTTTGCAGAGTCCAGGGAGCCAAGAGCAGACACTCACCATGGTCCAAAGTGAGGCTGCCTGTGATCCTAACATCCAGGTGTGAAGGGGCAGTGTCCCTACTGAGGCGGCGCTGCCATCAGCCTGGCCAGCGTCCTCAGTTACACATTTCTGGTTGTGTGCGTGAAGCCTAATACCTTCCCCTTCTTGGCAGAGGCTACACCCTGATAGACTCTGGCTGGCCCCTGAGCTGGTGGACATGGCGTTTCTAGCACCACGTGCAGCCAGTGAGGTTCTGGGGGGGTAAACACAGCCTCTCCATGGAAACCTACAAGCCAGATGAGGGCAGGCTGGGGAGGCCAACCCCACCCTGGACAAAACTGCCTCTGGCAGGACCCGGAGGGGCAAGAGCCTGCTCCCGGGCCCTCGGGGGCCGGCTGCACCGGAGAGGCCGGGCCCTGAGCGGCGCCTCACTACGCTCCTCCGCGGGCGACCCGCACCCCCGAGGCCTCTCCAGGCTTAAGGCAGGGGTTCCGGGCCGCCCGAGGGACCCCAGGGCGATCTCCCGGGGCGGGGGTACGGGGCACAGGCCGCCCTCGCTGCAGGGCCCGACCCCTCACCGCGTGACGCCCCTCACCTGCGCGGGCCCAGCCTAGGGCGCAGGGCCCGTGGGCTCGGCCTGGCGGGCGCGGCTGCAGAGGCAGCCGAGGCCCCGCGGGGCTGGCGCGGCCTCGGCCGTGGGCGACAATAAAGCGCCGTCCGCAGCGGCGACCGGCGGCGGCGGCGGCTAGCAACCAGCCCGGCGCCTCCTCCGCTGTCCGTCACGCCGGCCCGCCTTTGCAGCGCGCGCCGCCCAGGGATTGGCTCTCCGGAGCCCTCTCCGACCACACGGCGCCTTATTGGGCCGCTCGGCTGTCCTGTAAGCTCCCGCGTGGGAGGAGCCGCCGACCGCCGCGGCGGAGTGGAGGCTGGAGGGGGCGGGGCTCCGAGGGGGCGGAGCCTGCGGGCCGCTGCTCCGCCTGCGCCAGGCTTGCAGCGGCGCTCGATTCCCCGCGCAGCCCGGGGAGGCCCCAGGCCTGGCGGGACCGTGTTCGTGCCACCTCCGTCCAGTCTCCCGGAACGGCTTTCGGAGAGGCCTACCGAGGTACCGCTAATGCACCGTTGTGGGCTCTCCTCCCTGTGTCCAAAGGGCTCAGGACATCGAAGCCCAGATGCCCACGCCAAGTCATATTAAGCAAGTTTTATAGACTTAAACGCTGTGAAGTGATCCACATGTATTTATTGATTTATGCGCGCGCGCGTGTGTGTGCCTGTGCACAGGCGCACGTGGACGTGGATATTAGGATGGTGGGCCAGGGCCTCGCCCGTGCTAAACAAGGGCTCTGCCACTGAGCCATTTGTCTTAAGGGATTCCTTCAGCGCGTAGCCCAGGCTGTGGTCAGACTCGTTAATAGCTGAGAATGTTCAACAGCTGATCCTTTTGCTTTCACCTCCTACGTCTGAAATTATGACAAAGTGACACCGCACCTGGCGTTTTCTTTCTTTTCTTTAAGATTTAGTGTGTGCGTTTCTGCGCCGTTGAGGGTGCCGGATCCCCTGGTACTGGCGTATGCACGGTTGTAAGATGCCATGTGGGAGCTGGGAACTAAACCCCAGTTCCTCTCAGAACCGCTAAGTGCTGACCAAGGCTGCCAGCAGCCTGACGGCAGCTCTAACTTTGCCAGATCTCGAAGGGCCGCCAACTGCTCCTGCTCCGCCCGCAGCCCTGGTGTCTGCTCCCAGACACCCTGGGAGGTGTCTGCAGGGAAGCGGCAGTCGCTGAGGACAGGGCTGCCCCACGTGTAAACAGGAGTGTGGATGACCCAGGGTTTTTTTTTTTTATAGTTCCACCCTGTTTACTAAACCCTCTATGAAATATGTGAATAATAAAACCCAATTCCGTTCTAAAAGAAAAAAAAGGAAATGCTTTCTTTCAAGTTTCTCTGTGTAGCCCTGGCTGTCCTGGAACTCACTCTGTAGACCAGGCTGGCCTCAAACTCAGAGCTCCGCCTGCCTCTGCCTCCCGAGGGCTGGGATTACAGGGGTGCACCACCACTGCCTATCACCGCAAGTGCGTGTAAAACACTGGTGGCTTTTTAAAAACAGAAAGGTTTGATTCATCAGGATCAGGATTCCCATCCTTTGGTGTACAGCAGCCCCGCACGGTTGTAGTCGCTCTCCCAGCATGCAAACTCCTGTGGGCCGTCCTTGTCTAACCCAGCTGTTCTGGTACCAGCTGCCTAGACCTTCTGTTTTCTTGACTGTCACAGACTTGAAGGCACAGTGTCTTCCCGGTCCATCTGCAAGCCTGGGGAGTCACCCTGCCGTTGCTGTGTTCTGGGCTGTAGCAGACAGGGCAGCTCACTTGCCTCTAGAGTGACCCAGCAACTTTCCCACGGTTAAGCGACTGTGATGAGAGAGCGGTTGTAAACACTTACTGGCCTTTGTGTGAACACAGGCTTTCACTTGTCTTCTGTGAATTCCTAGGACAGGAATTGGTGCTATTTAAGAAACCACCAAAATGTCTCCCAGACACCACACGGCCAGTGCCGTGTGAGCTCCAGTTGGTGTCTGTTCAGGGTCTGGTTTTTCAGTCACATTACTGGTGTTGGTAAGCCACATGGTTTACTCAGAGGGTGACCCGAGTATGCTTATCTGCTGTCTTCACTTGTCTTCCTGTCCATCCTTTACCCTCTTTGTAATTTGGGTGGCTTTCTAGTTCTGGGTTTTGTCTGTGTGCATGAGAGCACATTCATGCCATCCGCACAGGTAGAGTGAGGATGTTTTCCTTTTTTGCTGTGTGTCCCAGGATTGCACTCCGGTTGTCACGCTTCGTGGCACCAGCCTGGCCCTCTCACTGGTCCTAGTGTGCTCTGCACAAACTTTCCACCACAGTCTGCACAAGACATTGACCCAAAAATACTGTTTCCCAGTGTTTGGCTCATCTTCCCATTCCCTTAACAATGGCATTCAAAGCTTTTACCCTTTGATGGTTCTTCCTTCTCGGGGGGTCTTGGGATGCAGCCCTGGACGGCCTAGAACTCCCTATGTAGACCAACCAGACGGGCCGCAAATCCAGAGCTTCCTGAGTGCTGGGGTTGGAGGGGCAACCACCACGCCTGGTGTGCTACGGTTCACCTTAAATTTCTGTGAATTCTGAGGTATGGGCCAAGATGCTTTAGTTTTTACACACTGATAGCTTCAGCACCGCCACTGGCGGCCACCACCTCCTCATGCACGCATGCAGAAAGCCACGTGACCGAAGCTGTGGCTCAGTGACCTCAGCTTGTCAGCACTTGCCCAGGCTCTGCCTCTCGGATGTGGGCGTCGCCGCTGACCGTATTTGTGTGCATCTGTCATTCTACCTGTTAAGACCTGGGCGATGCCAGGCTAGCACAGCCATGGTGAACTCTGTCCTCTGGACACGGCATTTGTCTTGAACTTGGCCACAGGAGACCCGCACAGTATCAAGTGTGTTACCATTCCCTCACAGGAGGAGAGGAACCACAAGTGGCACTCCCCACCCCCGTGTGTGAGCACAACGGAAAAGGACGCCCTTCAGTGGCACACCTGCCGAAAGCCTTCCCCTGCTCCTGCAACCCCATGGAACCCCCTCACTCATCAGCTGAACCTGTGCAAAGGTTTTCCTGCCCTGGGGGCAACAGGGAGACTCCCGGGAAAGGCACCCTGCAGGGGCTGCAGAGAGCGTTCTTTCCCAGGTCACCTTCGGCACTGAGCTGGCGCTTCCTGGAAATGCTGGCATCGGTCCAGCACGTTGGGAGAACCGAGCTGGGACCGCACTTGCTTAACACACGCAGGCCCCAGGCTCACAAGCTCAGCGCCTACCGAGACAAGCTGCCTCTGCAGCCACGCTCACTGTGTGTCCCGAGGGTGCCAGCACCGCTGAGGGGTCCCACCGAGCGCCCGAGGAGGAATGCCCGTCCTGCTTAGGAAAAGTGTGCCCCGCCAGAGCGGCACCGGCTGCGTCAACGCTGCTGCCGGGGAGAGTGCACGTGGCAGCTCACGGGCTCTTCTGACACGGACGGGGGGTTCACTAGACTAACCGTGGTCTGCAGAAAGATGTGGCAGGCTGAGGTCCAGAAATGGCCACAGGGCACGCGGCTGAGGAAGCTGAGAGCCAGACCTTCTACACCACAGTAGACAACACTCCCTGGCCGACCCGTCCCCCCAGTTCCCCAAAGGCTGTGGCTCTTGCTGCTGTGACCTCCCTAAGGAAGGACAGGAGATGAAAAGCATGACTCTGAACAGGTCGATGTTTCCAGCCCTTACCTCGCACGCACTTCTGAGGGACAGGCAGACGGGGCGTGCCCAGGGACACCGAGGGCAGCGCTGCGGCCCTGCTACCCACCAGCTGCTACCACAGGAACTCAAGTCCATACACCCATTGCCAGCACCTAGCAAAGGGACAGGTGGGACAGGGACTGAGGTAGCCTGGGAGTTGGGGGGTTGGCCTCTGTGTTCGGCCTCCTAGAGACACAGCAGCACAGGGCGGAAGGGCTGTGGCCAACAGCCCTGGAGAAACACTGCCCTGCAGATGCACTGCACGAAGCAGGAAACCTCCGGTGTCTCCAGCTACTGCTACGACGGTCTGTGGGGGTCTTGCCAGAAAGAGAAGCCAATCTCAGGAGCACGGCCAGAGTCAACCTCCCAAGAAGCAATGGGTTGCAGACATCTTCTGAAGCACCAACTGACCCGCTCTTCATGCTTCCCTCTTGGCTGGTCAGCGCTAAGGGCCAATACACCGTCTTCAATGACCGTTCTGACCACTGGGAGGCCCACCCAGGGCTCTCCTGCCCCGGAGACTGCTGTTTCCTAGGTGAAAGGAAGGGGTCAGAGGGGACAGGAGGACAGCCAGAAGATACTCAAGAACCATGAGGTGAACATGAGGTCCTGGGGCCAGAGTCACATGTTTAAAAATGCAAAAGCTGATGGCTCTGAAGCTGGAGGTTCTGTGGTGACCTTCTGTAAACCTGGCTGGAGATCCCGGGAGCTGGGGCAGGCCACCAGCTCCATGCCAGAAAACAAGGAGTTGGGGCTCCCCAGGCACGAGCTGGAGCTGCCCTTTGGGGTGTCTATGTTCTCCGGGCTCTGCTCAGGTCCTGTCCCCTGTCCACCAGAACGTATCAACTGGGTTCTGAGCTCACTGGCACCCTCCAGGGCTGGAGGGGGAAAGGGGTCTGGGAGTGGAGCGGGCACCGCTGTGGTGGAGCTAAGAGGCTGGAGGAAGACCTGGCTCTCGGGGGGAGGCACAGGGCTGGTCAGCAGGTCGGCTGGGCCCACAAGGGTGGCTGCAGAGGTCAGCTGGGCACAGGGCCTTCGGGCAGGCAGCTGCTGTCCACAGGAGGCTTCAAAGTGTCTCAGGATCTAGAGGAAAATGGGAAGGAGTGAGGTTCCTGCTTAGGGCTGGGAGCAGTGAGGACAGGGCTCGTTTTTTCTGAGTACGGGCAGGTACAGCTAGCTACCTACTGCGGGAACAGTACAACACAGGAAACAGACAGATGGGCAGTCTACCCCGGAACCTCCAGGTGCCAAGGGAGCTGAGGGGACCCCGGAGATCTGAGGTGTCTAACGTCACCCCAAGTTTACTGGGTGCTGTGAGCAAAAGTGAGTTATCAGGTGCTAACAGCATAGCAACCCAGATAAGAGGCTGAGACGCTGCAAGTTTGGCAGGCAGAGAAAACAGGAAACCCCAGGGATGTGGTGCATGCCTTTGGTCCTAGCACTTGGGAGGAGGGGGCAGGTGAATGTCTGTAAGGAGAGGCCAGCCTGGTCTACCCAGTGAGTTCCCAGCCAGTCAGGGCTACAGAGTGAAACACTGTCTCAAAATGCAAACAATAAATCCCAAGAAGCAGCTAAGGAAGCAGGGCAGATAAGAAGGGCAGGCACGGAGGAGACCCTAGGCATAAGGCAGGGGAACTGCCTCTCAGGGGGCTTTCTGGAGGAGGCAGGGTGCAGGACACAGGAAGGTGAGCCAGGCGCAGAAGCAGGGTGAGTGAACGGTTGGCGTTCAGGAGAGGAAGAAGGCCAAGGCACCCACAGTGCCAGAGCCCAGGGCAGGTGAGCACCACCCAGTAAGCAGGGCTATGGGCGTGTGCCCAGCTAGGGAACCCACCAGGGTAGTGAGTGCTGAGACACTCTGCGCCCCGGCCACTGCCCACCTTAGTGGCTTTGTTGGTCACAGGTCCAGGGTTGCCTGCACCAAGTTCCTGCAGCCGCTGCCGGCAGAGGAGGAGGACGTGCTCCTGAGGCAAGAGGTCGGCGCCTCCAAAGGAGGCGATGGCACACAGCGCCCTCTGTGGACCAGAGAGGGGAGGATGAAAGTCAGTGCCTCACTCAGGCCTGTGTGGCCCCACTGGACGCACCGCACTCCCCACGTTGACCCTTCTCAGCCAGGGAGGCGCTGCTGTCCTTGCTTGACCCGCACGGCCCTTGCTCCCTCACACGTGCGCGGGCTCACTCTCATCCTCACCATCTGCTCACACTCACTGGTCCCGACCAGCTGGCGGAGGAGCAGCTCCAGCACAGCCTCACAGTTGAGCAGCGCACACCTGCACGGGGAGGGGGCATGTGGGAGGAGCTGGGGCGGCCACAGCCAGCTCCCTCCTCCCTCGGGGCAGGCGCAGGCGCAGCTCACTCTTTGATGAAGTGCTGTGTCTCCTCTCTGCTCAGGAAGACTCGCGGTCCCTGTGTCACAGCTCTCACAAGACTCAGCTCTTGCTGGCAGTCACTTGGGGCCACGGCCTCAGCCCTGGAGAGCGCACAACCGTACAGCCGGGCCAATGAGTGGGCAGCACCCCACGCTCCCACACTGGGGTCACGAGTCTGCGCCTCTCTGGGAGAGGTGGCCTGCGCACATACCTTTCTGCCAGGTCGCCTGGCTCCCGGCTGGTGCCAGAGTGGCTGTCACTGCCGGACCGACTGCCTGCATCCGAGGCCCTGCTTAGGTTGCTGGTGCAGGAGGAGCTCTGGGAGCTAGGACTGCTGTCCAGCTCATCCCAGCCTCCTCCAGCCTGCCCCGGCTGGTGCTTCACAGCTGAAAGACAGGAGAGTGGCAGGCAGGGCCCCTCACCTTCCGTAGGCCGCACACTACCTCCTCAGGGACTCTGGCTAAGAGACAACAGGTCTGGCCTGTGCTCACAGGGCAGCTCCACAAGCTCCAGGCTCACAGCATGGGCGAGCGCTTCCTGCCTCCCGCCATGCAGGGCGGCACCAGAGCTTGTCTTTACGTCGAGAGTGCCCCTGCCTGAAGGAGACCACCAAGGGCGGCAACACTGGCTTCCATACCTCGGGCCCCCAGGATGGCCCCAGGGAGCAGATTCCCGGGGCTGGGAAGTGTGTGGCCGGCTGACGGTGTCACTGCGGGCTGGTAGGTGTCAGCACGTGGAAAGGGTCCCTGGGCACAGGGATTATCAGGCCCAGGACGCACTGCATTCGCCACGGCCTCTGCAGCCCTCTGGATCGTGGACAGGAGGGTTTCGCCTGCAGAGCCTGTGCATGGAGGGGAGTGTCAGGCTCCCGGCCTCCTCCCTGCCTTCGCCAGTCCCTCCAGGACAGGGCTAGGACTGCTCAGAGCTGGGGAGGTGGAGCAGCGTGGACACTGCGTCTGCACACCAGCTCACAGCAAGCAGCTGTGGTCAGGGATGGTCGAGGGGGTTGCCCTGGGAAGAAATCGCCCTTAGCCCTTCACTCGAGGGTACAAGGACAGCAGTGCCAGAGCCATCCCGCCTCCGAGCACCCTGAAGAAGCAGGTTAAAGCATCGGCCTGAGGCCCCAGAGTTGCAAAAAGCCTGTGTGTGGCAGCTTCGGGCACATAGCTGGACATAGCCCCAGGGACAGCTGAGGCCGCCTGCTCCACTCTGCGTGCTGTCCAGACTGCCAACAAACACACGTGTTACACGGCACCCACACACAGTCCACTGTCACTCCAGTGTGTTACACGGTACCCGCTCACGCTCACTGTCACCACCTGCACAGATGCCTGCTAGGTTCTGTCACGGCTGGGCTGTTGCCAATCAAGCAGCACAAAAGGCCAACCCGGCCACCTGGACTCGTCTAGTGTCTCCTCCCTGGCCGTCAAGTAGACACTCTGGTAAGACCATCCACTCGGCTGGGCAGAGGGGACAGCAGGGCCATATTGAGGGATGGCGTCACATGTGGGACAGCGGGGACAGCTGATGGTGCTGTCATGAAGCCTTGCTCTGACCCCTTCTTGGCAGTCCTGGACCAGGCTGGCCTCAAACGCATAGGTTTGCCTGCCTCTGGCCCTCAAGTACTGGGGTTAAATTCGCGTACCACACTGCCCAGCCCTAACCCCATCATATCCCTACCTGTACCTTACCTGACCGGCCTGACTCCTTGCTATAGCCGAAGCCCTGCAGAGCACTGTGAGGTCGGGCCTGGGCGCCCATGCCTGAAAGACACTGGCGTCAGTGCAGGCCTCCCCCAGCCCTGCCCACATGCACACAGACATCTAGGACACCAAAAGGGACAGCCTCTGATGAGGCTGGAGGGCACCAGAGTGGCATACCTGCTGGAGGCGGGGCTTGGGGTGGCTGGCAGGGAGCCAGCGGCATGGCATCCGAGAACAAGGTGCTACCCAGGTCCTAAATGAAGAGGTGGGAGCTCAGAGTCCCACCGAGCCTTCTGTCCCACCTGCCCCTGCCAGCTCTGTGCTGTTAGAACCTCTCCTGAGCTGCCCAGCCAGGCACCAGGCCATGCTCAGCAGGGGAGACCCGAGTCCAGTGTGGCAGGAAGACAGCAAGCTCCTCACAGACATTCTGTACTCCAGGTAGTGACCCCGGGCTCACCTGGGCAGCTGCCCGCACCTTCTGGTACAAGCTGTTTCCGTGCAGAGGATCTGGGGGTCCTGCGAAAGCTTCAGGGCAGAAGATAGACAGGAGAGGCTGAGCCTGGCTCTGCTCCCTGCACACTGAGCAAGCGCGACACACACACACACACACACACACACACACACCCGGAGGGTGCACCGCAGCCCCTCCTCAGGGCTCAGGGTGGAGCACTTCACACTCTCCCTTGACCACCCAGCTCTACAATAGCCACTGTGTCTGCAGAGACCACGGCGCTTCCCATACACGCTGGAGCTCTGCCTACCTAGCTGCTTCCTTGCATCCATTCACTTCCACCTGCAACACGAGCCTTACCGAACTTTCTCCGGGCCTGAGCCTCTACCAGGGCCTCTCAGGTATGGTTCAGCTCCTGGTTACCAGGCCAGTTCAGCCTGAGCTAAATTCCCTCTGCTAAAAAGCTTCCCTCGAAGAAATTAAGGTTTTCTTATACATTAAGCCACCCCCACATTTTCCTTGGCTCAGGGCCTTTTCTCATGCTGGGGAATACCACAGCACCCGTATTCCACCTCATCCTTTCAGGGCTAAAAGCCATTCCTCAGAAAATCCTTAGTGGGAGCCTCCAGCACAGACACCCTTCACAAGACCACGCCAGGCAGGACCTCAAGCACAGCACCCAAGGGTTATGTCTCCCCACCCCAGCTTTTCCTGGACATACCTGTGCCCTTCCATACCTGTGGCTTCCTGGATGAGAGCAGAGTTTCTTCTGAGTATGAGCAGGAAGGAGGAAGAGCCATGACCACACAGGTAAAGCAAGATCTTCAGCACCTGGAGAGCCAACAGATTCGAGGGGCTGGCAACTGCGGTGCAGGGCACCCAGCACAGCTGTGTCCCTCCCCCAGCCTTGTCTGTTGCCTGCCACTCACCTTGAGCTTCACGTGGCCAGAGCTGCTGTCCAGGCGGTTCAGGAGGTACTCCAGCAGGCACTGACTGCTACCCAGTGACTCGTGAGAAATTTCTGAGAGTCATGTGGGTTAGGGAAAAAGCAGGCTGACAGAGACCATACCAGGACCCACTAGCGAGACAAACTCACCCTCCTGTGACCAGTCTCACTCCATGAAGATTACTGCAGGCTTTGGTTTCATCAGCACTGGAATTTTTACAGTATGCTGGTCTCGACACCATTGATATTGTAGGATTTGGGAGTTTTTTGTTTTGTTTTGTTTTTTGAGACAGGGTTTCTCTGTGTACCCCTGGCTGTCCTGGACTCACTCTGTAGACCACGGTGGCCTCAAACTCACAGAGATCAGCCTGCCTCTGCCTCCCTGAGGGCTGGGAATACAGGCGTGCACCACCACACCTTGCCAGCTGGTATTGCAGTTTTTAGCACACCCCTGCCACACACGTCTGGATACTAGGAAAAAGTTGTTGTTGGGGCTTCTGGGATAGCGGAAGACCCGACCCTGTTCCTATAACCCTTTCTGCTATGTCAGGATCCCCGCTGTTTACTACACACTAAACACCACCCATGGGGATGATGCAGGAGGATACTGGCAATCTCTTCAAACAGGTAGCCTGGACATGGGATGTCATCATCTGAGGTCCCCTTCATGAGAATGGGGAGCTGAAGGGGAAGTGGAGCATGGTGAGTTACACAGGGTAGGTCCCAGCCACTAAAGGGAATGGAAACAGCCTCATGCTCAGCGGTGTTAAAACTGCCCAGGAGAAAGCCTGCATGGGGGGCACAGAATCATCCCAGTGGCCACAAAGCACAGCTCTAAACAGGCTCTGCTCTGGCATGGAGCAGTGAGGAAATCAATGAAGGCTCTCTAGCTAGGTCAAGATGAGGTTCAGCCCGGCCCCCTACACCCATGAGGGTAAGGACATTTTCAATATAGCTACACATCAACCAGCAACAGCAAGACCCTCAGCGCCTTCTATGTAATGGATGGGCGTGGTGCAAACGTGTCAGAACTGCTCCGCTTGACAGGCTATCTTGAGAAGACCTATCTTAAATTTTATATTGCCGTCCATCAGCATGGTCTTGCTTATTTACCGGCTTGCCTGCTACTGCAAGTGGACAGTGTTTATTTGGTTGAAATCCGGAAACACCTATTTCCCATCACTCAGTATCTGGGCAAACGGTTGCGGCTTTGGAATATTTAAGACAAGTATGCTGACACACTGCTAGGGGTCCACTCGGCCTCGCCATGCTGTTTGTCCACAGTGCCTTTGAGGGGCTTTGTAGGAAGGGAACGAGTTTAGTACTTACAACTTGTCCCAGCCGCTACAAGAGAGATCTAAAAGCCAGTAAGAACGGTCCCTGGGGCACTCAAGCGCCCTCAAAGCTACAGTCAGAAAGCTCAGGGCAGTCAGCTTGTTTCAGTCAGCAGCTGGCACCTGGGCCCCGCTGGACATCGCCCGCCGCCCTTGCTATCAGACTATCAGAGCAGGCTCGCTCATTGTCAGCAGCTGCTGGGCAGTCTGTCCCCGCTCATCCAGCGAGGTCCCCGGGGGCCAGGCGTCAGCACACCCGGCGGGTTCCACTCACCCTGTGGAGGAAGCTCAAGCGGTCCCGCAGCGGCGGGGCGGCCGCCATGGTCCAGGTAAACTCCCAGCCTGCCCTGCTTCCGCCAGGCTTTGGTCTTCCAATCATGGCGCTTCTCTGGCTCTCCCGGCCAATCGCTAGCAGGAGGTGGGCACAAGGGACGAAAACATCTGGGCCTCAGCCAGTCCAAGGTCCTAGTGAGAGACAGACAAACACTACTACCAATTACAGAAGCTCAGGCCGCGACTCTGACCAACCAGAAAACAGTATGGGCGCAGGCGCCGGATGTGCAAACATTCGGCTCCGGAAAAGGCGGGGCCCAAGATGGCGGCGCCAACAGGGGCCTGGAAGAACCGCTCATGTCCGCCAACGGAGCGGTGTGGGGGCGCGTGCGGAGCCGTCTCCGAGCCTTCCCGGAGCATCTGGCGGCCTGCGGAGCTGAGGTAAGGAGAGGGCGGAGCTGGGCCTTCAGGGTGCCCGGGGAGGGAGGCAAATCTGGTCTGGCCCCACTACCGTCGGGTCTTCCTTCAGGCCTCGGCGTACGGCAAGTGCGTGCAGGCCTCCACCGCCCCAGGAGGCCGCCTGAGGAAGGATCTCTGCGTGCGCGAGTTCGAGGCCCTACGGAGCTGCTTCGCCGCCGCGGTAGGTGGACGCTTCCTCCCTGCGGCGTCCCGTTCGGCTTTCCTTTTCCGCTGCTTTAGGGTGATGCCAGATACACTTTTTTTCTACCCGTCAACTCCAGGAAGGATCAGTGAAAGGGTGAAAGGCCCTCGCCTTAACTGCTGGCACTGTTGCCAGAGGGCAGCCTGACCAGACCGACCCCAACCCCACTTTCTCTCCAAAGTTACTGCGTGACGCCGTGGGGGAGGGGAGCCCTGCTAGGCACCCCTTTCATCAAGTGCCGAGTGTCCGTGGCCGGCTCTCACTGTAGCACAGAAGAGGTGGTGAGAGCAGCTTGGCTTCTGCCTATGACTCCTCCACTTCAAGCCCCTCCCCTTCAGGTGCCCTCTGTCTTTGCCTTGCCATGGCCCTTGTCAGCTGATGTCCCACTTTCAGCCTTGTGAAGATGGCCAGGACCCGGAGTACTGAGTTTGGGCATCTTGGTAAAACCCTAGAAGAATTGTGAAAATGGTGGAACGGACCATAGTGAATATTCCAGAACCTTGCTCCAGATAATGGAGGGTTTGACCCGCAGAAGTCTTGGGCGCTCATTCTAGGATAGGTTCCCAGAATGTCACTACTGTCGACCTTTCTGGGTACAGCTGATTCATGGGTCTGGGGTAGGTCGTCCGCTGGTGCTCCTGGGAGCTGCTAATGCAGAACTAGGACTAGATGTAGGGTCCTTGGTTAAGAACCCAGAGCAACAGAGAGAATCTGAAGCGGTTTGTTAATACTCCGCAATAGCCTTAGGCAGGAAGAGCAGTGTTTGGGAGAGCCAAATGTTCCTTGAGTTTCCTGCGGCCCAGCCTTACCTAGCAGCCTTTGGCGAGTTTCCCAGTCAGAGGCTGTGCAACCATCAGGTGTTGCAGTACTGTTTTGTTTTGGTTCCTTCTGACTTGATCCCTGCCTTTTGGCAGCTTTCCAACCCTACGTCCCTCCCTGGATAGGGAAGGCTACCTGACAAGCCTTCACCTGTGGTTGGTGGCCAGCAGCTGTCATTGAGAACCTAGACACACTCTCCTGATGTTCATAGGTTTCTGCTTTCTCTCTCTGCCACACTTTCCGTGGTTGAGGAAGTGTGTGGCTGGTAGCTGTCTCCTCCTTTGCCTGGACCAGATAAAGGCCTCCCACTGTGGCTCCTTACATCCCTGCTCTAGAACCTCCACTGGATCACAGTGCCGGGTGATCTCAGGCAGGGACCACCACAGACATACCAGCACTTCAGTTCTTGAAGGCGTTTGGAAGAATGTGGCATGTGATGAGGTGGATGTCTTGCTAACTCGCAAATTAAATGCTTTCTCTTTCAGGCCAAGAAGACCATGATGGGAGGCTCCTAGGAAGGTCTGTGGGCACAGGTGCCCTGCACTATGGCGCACTTGGAGAGCTTTGGGGACTGAAAGAAAGCGTGGGCAGCGAAGATCCTGGTGTTTTGTGGTTCTTCTCAGCGTGAACCTGGGCAGGGTTTGTTTACCTGCAGTGTGTATGAGCATCTGGGTTTGATTAAGATGTGACATAAACAGCAATGAAGATTGTTCCTATTACAATCTGGCACATTTCAGACTTTTATACACAGCATGGTACGAGGAACTGGCCTCTCCGAGGACGATGTGTCCAGAGCATCCCTGCACCCCCACCCCTCAGAGGTGTAGGTCTGGGCCATAGGACTCTGCCCAGGGCCCTCATTTAAAACTGTTCTCACAAGGGCTGGAGAGATGGTTCAACAGTTAGGAGCACCTGTTGCTCTTTAGAGGACCCAGGTTCAGTTGTCAGCACCTATATGGCAGCTCACACCGTCTTTAACTCCAGTTCCAGGGGACCCAACGCTGTCTTCTTGCTTCTGCAGGGACCAGGCACACATGTAGTACAGACATACACGCAGGCAACACATGGACATAAAACCAAACCTTAAAACAAAACAAAACCCCACCGTCCTCATGGAGGCTATCTATGTAAGTGTAGCAGAGCTGGTCCCTGGACCTGACTGCTCATGAGGAAGGAGGGCAAACCACAGACAGACACAGCAACACAAGGGGAGCCCACAGTACGGAAATTACTACAGATGGCTGCCCAGAGATTGGGCATAGGCATTTCTGGACAAAAGCCAACAAGGAGGTTCTCCTTGGGACCATCAATGAGGGGACATCTCCTGGCCTGCCTTCTTTACCTCCTTCACACAGTGCCCAGTGCACTGGGATTCTCTGTGTGTGAGTGCCACCTGCTGGGAAACATGGGATTTCTTCTGGGCGTGGAGGTCATGCTGTCCTTGGCAGCTGGCACCTGTCTCAGAGCCTGAGTACTGGGAACAGGGCTAGGGCCAGGGGCCATCATGCCCTACACTCTGCACCCAAAATCTCTATCTCCACGAGGCATACCTGCCGGAACTGCCCTTATTTACCACTGTGAGAAAACCCATGTTTTTTAGTTTAAGATTAATCGATGTGTATGGGTGTTGTAGCTGCTTGTATGTATGTGCCCTGAGTGTGTGCCTGGTGGAAACGAAGGAGTAGGAGCCCCTGAACGGGAGTTACAGACAGTTGTGAGCCTCTAAGTGAATGCTGGGAATCAAGCCAGGGACTTCTGCAAGAGCAGTAAGTGCTTCTGTCCAGGGGACAGGGTGATGTCGGGTCTCAAGGGACCAGATGTTGACTCTGGACAGTCCACTCTCCTCTGCTGCTAAGACAGCAGGATGAGTGACTGCCCAGGGATTACAGGTTCTCCACAAGCCAGAAGCTGCCCCACTCGGTGTTCTTTTACCCACGTTCTCAGAGCTTGCAGCCGAGACCAGCCCCTCAGGACTGACTTGTCATCAGCCACACCTTCCGCAAGTTTTCTGGAGAGCTCACCACTACAGCTTCTTGCATCTTCCCCCTGAAGACTTCAACCCTGGGCCCCACGGCTCAGGCTCCCTAACCCTGAGGCGGCAGACATCTCGTCCTTCTCATGGCCCAGCACAGCCCAGGCCTGTAGACTCTGCTCAGGCCTCCAGGGCCCCCTCCTTCCAGCTCTGTCATGGTTTGACGATTCAGTTCTCATACACACAAACCTTACTCCAGTAGACTAATGCTAGTGAGGTCTTGGTCCCTGGCTACTTGGTGGTATTTTGGGAGGTTCCAGAAACTTCAGGAATGGTGGGCTGGAGAGATGGCTCAGCAGTTAAAGAGAATTGACTGTTCTTCCAGAGGACTCTCCCTGGTTCAATTCCCACCACCCCACACTGGCTCACAGCTCTATGGTCTGTAATTCAAATTCCAGTGGATCCATTTCCCACACACACACACACAGACACACACGTGTTCCAAACACCAAATGCACAGGAACTTCAGGAAGGTCACTGCAGATATGCTTTTGAAGTTTGTGCCTGCCCCAGGACATGGAAGCCTCCACCATTTGCTTGTGCTGCTGTGACGTCCTGATCACATGGCCCAGGCAACTGAGCCTGAGCAGGAGAAATCAAGTTCTCAAGTGCTGAGGCCACAGCTGTGCAGGCTCCTTTGGCCTTTGAACAGTTCTCGGGCCTCCAAACTTGGTCTCAAGAATGTGTTCATGGGCTTCGTGGTTAAGGGCACTAACTGCTCTTCCAGAGGACCCGGATTCAAATCCAAGCCTCCACATGGCAGCTCACAACTGTCCAAGATCTGACACACACATACAGACAGGCAAAACACCAGTGTACATAAAGTAAAGGTTTTAAAAGAATGAATACATTCACTGGCTGCAGCAGAGACAGTTTCTGTGGCCTTGTCAGCCTCAGAGCACTGACTGTCAAGCATGCAGTCAGTCCTCTGGAGCTCTTGTAGCAGAATACTGAGACCATGGGATTTATAAAGAATGCCAATCTATTCCTCACAGCCTGGAAGCCCAGAGGTTGACTGTCAAGATTTAGTACTGTGAGGGCCCTGCTGCTGAAATCTTCACTGGGCAAGAGAACAGTGCAGAGTTTGCCTCAGTGAGGGCACCCCCTTCTGGTGCTCTTACTTGGAACCCCTGCTTCTTTGTTTTTCCAGACACAGTTTCTCTGTGTGGCCTTGCCTGTCCTGGACTTACTTTGTAGACCCGGCTGGCCTCGAACTCAGATTATCTGCCTGCCTCGGCCTCCCCGATTACAGGCATGCACCATCCCAGCTGTCTGTTCTTTTGGGAGCTTGGGCTCTGCGATGTCTGCCTCCATCTGTGCCCTGGGAACATCTTGGTAGCACAGCATACCTCTTCACAGCACAACCATCCAGGACGCCCAGGCAGACCCAGCTGTCTGCCTCAGCACTTCTGCCATTCAGCGGCAAGCCGCAGGTCTTGGTTTCTAAGGGAAGAAGTGCCCTGACCTGAAGGCTTCTGACAGCAGGGTTAGAGGGGAGAGCTAGGAGAAAGAGCTGGGGACAGGACAACCCCGCCTACTCAAGAACAGTAGATGTTCTCAGCATACCAGGGGGAACAGAATGACCTTAGGAAGGAAACCA